AAGAATTTTAATTTGGCTTTTGAAGATATATATAGGAGCCAAACTACTTGGAAGGTTCCAGACCCTCAGCTCAGGGATGAGCTGAGGCTGTCTACATCAGAGAAAATCATCCCAGCATATCGCTCCTTTTTGGGGAGGTTCGGTGGGCAGTTGGAGGGTATACGGCATGCAACAAAGTATATCAAATACACACCAGAGGATTTGGAGAGCCAATTGATGGAGTTGTTTGAAGGGTCATCTGGGTTGTCAAACCATTCAAAGAGGAAACTTAGTTCATAACTTCATCTTAGTGTGGATAGTGGTAAGCACGAGTACTCATCTTAAAGTTTATGCTCTAGAGTTCAGATAAAGTGAAGAATTTATGCCTGTCTTTATCGTGTGCTAGTGCTATAGTATTTTGTTTTTGTCATGGATTATGATATATACACCTGATTTTTGGGTGCTTCTGCACCTTTGACTTTTTTCATATATGTATTGCAATAGTATACATGTATATAATATCTAAAGGACTTCTCCGATTGTGCCTATATATGCTTTGCATATGATCAATTTGATGCCCTTCTTGGATGTGTTCCCCTTTTTTGCTTGTTTAACTTGACAGACAGTTCTCATGTGTCAGATAATAGTTTGCTTATTGTTTTTGCCACCGTATTGTCTGTTTATTTATATTTTTTTGTTGCTTTTTCATGAAACTACGTGGGAATATAGTCATTGTTTCTTTCTAGTCTTTCTTAACCCTCCTTATTTGCATATAAATTGCCCTCCTGCAGTTCAAGCATGCATGAGTCGCCCTCCCCTGTGCGAGACATGGACATTTGAAATTTGAAAAATTGTAGATGTGTTGTTCCTTCTGGCTTTAGCGCGGGGTAGAGGCGGCTGAGTTAACAATGACATCTAATCGAATTCCGGTTGTGATGTGGTACAGGTAGCAGTTCCAAGCTCACTCTATTTTAAATGGGTATAAATGGGGTTTGGAGTCTTTGGACTCTTCAAGTTCATTTCTACGCATGTACGACACATCTGCTAATGAAACTCTGGCAGATGGTTATGATCATGTTCAGTGAACAAATGACATTGAACGATAT